GCTATGCAACTGAGAAAGTATGAGACTGCAGATCCCTGTTCACTCTGGCCATCTGATAACTCCCCGGAACTCAAGTCAGCAGCAGTCCAATAACAATCCCTGCCCAAATCAAATATTTAGAGTGTCCCAAAGACACTGCTCAAACAGAGACAAAGCAAAGGGGATTCTCCCAGTGATGATAAGTTGTTCTTTTCATTACAAAAGATCACTGCAATCTGATCCAAAGTTAAATAACAAGCATTACACATTCAAAGAAAAGCCTGTCATGGTATCTTAAATTAACTCATTCCATTGGCTATACAAATCCTTTCTGACAGTAGCCATCTTTCCATGTTCAATAGCAGTCATGATTAAAAGGTATATTTAAACTCATTTTAATTTACATTTCTCAGCATTAACAACTGCACCTCTCTTTATTTACAGCTTTATGCATTCATGTGCACAGTTGGATCGTGCTTTAAACTTGAAAACATTTTTAATCTTCTAATCTAATTTATTGTGGCTTCAGTGTGGTTTTATTGCATTTCTCTGCCTTATGTAAAATACTTTGAATTGTCTTTGCATTTGATGTGTTTGCGATGCTTTCTTTATGGAATTGGCCATGGTTCCTTTTTTATTCTGACTTAGCAAGAGTTCAGTCAAATGGAATTTCACCATTAAATAGCTATGATCACAATAAAGTGCCTAAGTTTGATTTTCGTACGACTTTCTATCATGCATTCAATGTGAGAAGTATTCTAATGCATCATTGTTAAGTTGATTAGATCTGTAGAATATTATCGCACAACAAAAATGAACTCCATGTAATCACCATGCCACTTAGACAATAACATATAACAACAAAGAAGAACATGTTTTTTAGACTATTATAACTATAATATAAGCCTAAATTATTACCTTATTACCTGTATTACAATCCAACCAAATAATGATATCATTATTTACTTTATGTATAATACTTTTCTATCTCTGACAGAGCATTGTTGGACTTGACAGCTAGTGCAATCAACTGGGTCAATACAAACTAAAGCATTCGAGATACATTAATAGAATGTGAAAATGCTTCAGATTGCACATATCTTTGATGCACTCTTACACTTTCAATTCCCCTTCCTCTCAGCTGTATTCACAACCCTAACACTGTATAAATAAACAAAGTGGCACACTTTAACGGAGACATGCATATGTATGAGATGTAAAATAATTTGATCCCTTTGAGCATTTCCTTGTCAACTCTCAAAAGCAGCACATGAGCGTTTTCTTGTGTGTTTTCCACAACAAAAGTTTCCTTCCCTCTTGTCACAGGTGCTGTCTCATTAGTGATAAATAACTGAGATGACATTTACGTTGTACCGAGTCACGCAGCATCTCCTTTTCAGTGGACGTGTGATATCACAGCAAAGCAATGCAGTGTTTGTTCTGGAGGGTACAAGAGATTTCACACAGAAATCCTTCCGCATACAGTTTAGTGCTTGTGACTGGGGTTGTGGGGTGGTGAATTGAAAGTGTCAAAAATGTCTTGTAAAAGCGGTAAAAAATACCACCCAAAATGTAAAAATAGGCGATGCAAAATATGCAATTGAAGTTTATTGTGATTATATATCTAATAATATCTGCCCTATGTACTAATATGATCACAATGAAAGGATTGCAATGAAAAGCAAGTTACTCTCAACTCCTAAAATCAAAAGCAATACTTCACAAAAGGAGATGTATAGCATTTATATATCACATAGGAGGCTCAGTGCACTTATTATAGAGGATTAAATGAATTTATTCTCAGTTGCTTTGAACAAAATCATCTGCCAAATGAATTTTAATGTAACCTAAACATTAAAATAACTAAATTACTTAATCCATAACAATACCGTGTATATTTGATATGTTAATATACAAACTATGGGGTAGGTAGTTAATTTCATAGGTAATGTTGTGGATATTGTAGAATATTGTTGTGTGGACAGTAAATTGTCATCTGAAAGAAAAGTTCTCATCTGAAAAGTTTTCACTCTGATCTTCATGAGATTTGTTTTACTGCATTAAGGCCAAACTTCCGTTATAAACAAAACTACACTATTCTTGATTTAGTGATGGTAAATGGTTAGGTACAGTTCTAGATCTATGTGTGTACAGACCTTTTCACAGCAGAAATGTTGACCTGTCATCATATTAGAAAAAGCACAGTTGGAAATAAAATTAATAATGGCTTGCTTCACCTTGCTCTTCCCCTTTTATTAGCCCTGTTGTTTTATTTCCAATCTCTTTATGTTTTATTGTTTTATTTTTAGCACTTTCCTGTTTTTATCTGTAGTACTTTGGGATTTGATTAAATATTTAGTGCATTACAAACACAATTTATTACAATTGTCATTGCTATGTTCTGTTCAAATGAAACTGAATACTGTGATTGGGGCTGTGGCTAAGATTGGGTTTAACTTAAGGTATGAGGAAACAATAAGACTTTATTATTATTAAATCAATGATGAAGATCCAGATAAAAGTGTTGTTTCCTATGGTCTATTCATCATAAGGGTTAAAGGTCAAAATGAACAAATGCACAAACCTTATACATATATATATTTAAATCATAGGAGAAATGGAAACTATAATTTGCCTTCAGGCACCGGTGGTACATTTCTCAGGTAAAATTTGAGGTACTTGTACTTTACTTGAGTATTTCTGTTTTTGTACACTTTATACTTCCAGTACAATTCAGAGGCAGAGTACTTTTTACTCTGCAGATACTAATTAATGATACAAACTCTAATCAACAAAGATGTGCAATAACAATGATGATGTATTATTATAGTTAAGGATAAGATAATATTTTATCTATCCCAGCAGTGTATAAAGTAGTAGCCCTACCTTTACCATCTGCATAGGTAAAGTGACATACACATTAATGCACCAATCATTATAATGCAATAAAACATAATTCAATATAAAATATGTACTATTATGAAATTGGCAATTCTGCATACTAATGAGCACTTTTACTTTGGTACTCAGTATGGTTTTATGCTAATACATCTGTACTTTTACTTAAGTAACATTTTGAATGCTTCCCTTTTCCTTTATATACTGTGGTATTGCTACTTTTGCTTAAGTAAAAGATCTGAATATGTTCTTCCACCACTGCCCTTAGGTTAACATGGGTGTGAAGTGTTGTCTGTTTGTACATGCCCTGTGATAGACTAGTGACCCTGCCTCTTGCCCATTGTGTGCTGGGATAGGCTCCAGCCTCAGGTATAAATACTGGATGGATGCATAAAGCTGCCAAGAGATAACTGGGAGTAAAGTTCACTACATCTTCAATCTAAAATGTTCAGGTTTGATCCCTGAAGCAGTGAGTGCTCTTTACACCAACTGTTGTGTCCACTGAAAAAATTTGTTTTTTTATTTAGCTAATTACAAGAAATGACACCACAATGTAAAAACCTAACTTATTAGCTGGCTTGCTATGTCTTGTGTTGCTGCGCTTGCTTGATGTTTTACAGTGTTAGCAGTGTTGTTGACTCAAGCTAAATCAGACAGAGGTTTCACAGACAGAGGTTTAGCTGTAAGATATAAGTCTTCAGCTTCAGCTGATGTTCGCAAACCACACTTGGTCATTGGCAATGTTACTGTAAGTGCTCTTGCGTTGTTGCTGTCTAGCTTTGTTAGCTAGCTTGCCACCCAACTTTCAAGCAACATGCTGCTGCTGGTGGAGATCATGGCAGACTCAAGCAAATGAGAAACAGAACCGGCCTCAGCATCTATGGGGATAACATTAGCTAATGTGAAGAGACCGAAGATGATGTTGTCAGAGGATGTTGTTGGAGTAGCGAGGAAGGGAAAAAAGAGAGTGACTAAGCAAGAGACCAGGTGGCAAGCTAGCCAACAAAGCTAAACAGCAACCGACACAAGAGCACTTACAGTATTCTACTGTTACCAACGTCTGAGTGTGTTACCTTGTAAGTTTGCTAATGTAAACTCAAGATTTATAGCGAGTAATGAATGACCGAGCAACATTATGTAACTTATCTACCATAAAGTAACGGGCGGTGAAGAGCGGACAACGTAACCCGTCTTAGCGGCGGAGGAAGCTAAGAAGAGAAAGTCACCAAGCAAGTGACTTCTGGACTTTGGCGAGAGCTTTGTGAAATAAAAGACAGACACCGAGTTGGTAATCTGTCTGTGTACACAGTTGGACTAGCAAGAAATATTGCTATGTCTTGTGTTGTTGTACTTGCTCGATGTTTCGCCGCGTTAGCAAAGTTGTTGACTTGCTAGTTTTTGATCGTAATGTAATCATAACAAATGCACATGTGCTGTCCTTATTACACTCAAGACACTTGAAACACACTTGAAACAGTAGAGGCGCTAAATCATACTCACAAAGTAATCCTGCATAACGTTGCTTTAAGTGCTACCTGTTACTTGAACTGAAAACTGTTTCCATTTAGAATTATCTTCCAACTTTTTCCCAACAAGAATAAGAATATATAGTATATTTTGTCAATTTCATATGTATTATGCCTATTGTTACGCACCTAGTCACCAAAGCAAATACCTTGTATGTGTAAAAACTACTTGGCAATAAAGCTGTTTCTGATTCTGAAATATTCAAGCCCTATTTCTGCAGCAATATATGCTTGAGTGCTCACCTGAGCCAAGTGCCCCACGACTAGTAACAAGACTCTTGCTTAGCCAGACATTCCCATAATCTGGCATCAAGAACCCCCATAGAGATACAGATCTATGGTGAACCTACACAATAGGATTTATTTGATGTTTTGTATAGAACTGCACATCTTTCTGCACTGTAAATGGGCCATGGATGCCAAGGCATTTCAGCACACAGTCATGGGTTCTCAGTTTTGGACTAAAATGTATATAAGGAAAAGTGACAGAAGGATCACCTGACACTCTTGCAGGGACTCCTGATGAGACCGTGCACCCCGCTTTGGGAAGCTCTGCAGCAGCCCGTCTCTCTATCTGGGGCACAGCTCAGCCTCCTCCCTCTAAGCACCGCCCCCAGAAGAAGCCCTCAGTAAAACGGGAGATAGTAGTAAACTGTTAACTTTGAGCGAGAGGGACTGTTCGCCCACGCTTTGGTAAAATATCACGCCAACCTCGTCCACAGCTGCTTTCCCCAAGCCAACGGAATGGTGTGAATGTCCTGCCGCGAGGAGAACGACTTTGATATCCGCATCCACCGGAGCGACTTTCAACTTTTTGGAGACTCTGCAATACGTCCGCTCGTGTTCAGGAGCTAACGCTTTGAACTGTAAGTTAACCGCTTGGCTTGTTTTTAGAAGAGTATGTCTTAGCAAAAGCGTGTCTTTGTAACGTTACACGGTGTCTGCGAATACTGTAAAAAAAAATAGTCGTTTCCAGTTAGCTGTGTGCATTTAACCGCCCGTAAATCCAGCTAAACATCTGTCTAACGTTACTTGAATTCGTTGACATGCAGCTTAATGTACACTCTTCCTCTCCTTCTTGAAGCTTCAGGATGTTAACTAAGAATTCTTCACGTTGGCATCCACGTTTCTACCTTTTTGGCTCTGTTTAATTAGAAAATGGAAGATGTACTTGAACGACAGGTACCGAGTGTGTACCCAGCGCTTGCAGAGGTGTTCCCTTCAGACGGAGAACAGCGTGACACTGTAGCTGTGCTCTCCGCGTTGCTGACAGTCCAGGTACTCCTGTGGGATGAAGCGCGACAGGCAGTGCGTGTAATATTTTAGATAAAAACACAATCAGGAATCTGTTTATTTGCACAACGGTGGGAATTGTCTGTAATTAAGAGGCTGTGCATTGGTATTGCTGTGACAGAGGATGGGGCTGGTAATTGTTTTGGACCCTGGAGAAACAGCAGTGTTGATGAGTTTCATTATTTAGCACCTCTTAATAATGTTAACTATGTGTTGCACTCAGGAATTGACACTAACGTTTGATGAATGCATGTTTACTGAATGTTTATGAAGTAAACATCAATTGTATTTAATAAAGGGCTGCAACCAGATCTAAATCAAGAAATTGGATATAAAAACTAATATTTAATAGTCACATAAGTGAAGTATGAGTATGGCAAACGAGATTTGTTGTTTGTTCTGCTCACAGGTAAAGGTGTGAAGGATCCATTTGCACGGTGACTCAGTTGGCAAGGGTGCACATAATGCAGAGGTATCAGGGTCTGAACTCAGTCCTGGATGCTTGCAGCATGCTGTACCTCATGGCGTTTCTGTGTACTAAGAAATAAGCCAGTGAGAAGTTCTTGCAATCGGTTAGTCAGAGCTGTACTTTTGTGATACACACATTTACACTGAAAGAGGAGAAGTTTTAAGATCATTCACCAGGTTATATGACCACACAAATGTCGAGATGACTTTTGAAGCAAACTGGTGTCAGATTAGTAAGATCTTAACATCTTACTCAGGTACCACAAGATACAGTAGGCTGCCAAACACAGACACTGCCCCAGCCTTTTTTGACTCTGCTCTCTTCACGTGTGGCTTTGTGATTACGGGAACATGGTATATGCTCTCTGGAGGGAAACAACACTTAACCCCAGCGTATGCAGACGTGATGACACAGAAATAAGGCAGGCCTTTAACATCGAAGTGACCACAAGTATGTAGCTTGGTTTCAGTAATGTGCTGTACGTTCAGTCTGGGGTCTGCATGTTCTGATGTACTTTCCAGATCGTCTTTGCGTAAAATAGTTGGTCGTCTTAGACAGGTCAGGGTTGAAGAGAAGTCACATGAGGTGATTTGAGTTGTTGCTGCAACAAAACCAGCACCGTGACATGAAGCTTTTGGAGTAAAACCTGAACAGTCAGCCCAAAACAATTTAGAAAGAGGAAAGCTCTGCTGCCCTGAATTTAACTCTTAACAGTTAGTTGCAAATGGGATGAAATCTTTATGAAATTCTACGTGATCTCTCAATATAAGAACACTTTTCACGTCAGACTTTTTAATCTTCAACCAACAGAGTAAGATACTGCTTTCTTGCAAATGTTGCTTTCCTTTGATCTGGTCTTTGCACAGAACAGAAGGTATTGCAACACAGCTAACCTTCATTTTGTCAGTGAGGAGATGAAGGTAAAGGAGTGGCACAAATCAAACAGAGTGTACTGGCTCTCCTTGACTAGCTGAAAGTGTAATATTTGTCATGGTCTTCCAAAATGACTGCTGCTGCCACACAGTGAAAGGCCCTTTTGTCCTGTGCAAGCTGCTTGCGCTGCAGAGCGATGCACCCTACTTTGTGCATCACTTCCCATACACACTCTATGGTTCCCCACGAGTCAGATAGAAGCACATCTGTTGTGGTACGTGGTACTCTAATAGTCACAGACGCTGCCTTTAAACTGTGAGTGCAATGCCTGGCGCATGGGGTTGACATTCAACACAAGTTATAGTTACAGTTTTGTTGTCCTAATGAAATGGTCTAGATAATTAGACAACTGCTATCACTCAGAGAATCAGTTTGCACAAGTTAGTCTGTGGACCACATCTTTCTAGAAAAATGTTTTGGTTGTGGCTGCAAAACACACCTTCTAACAAACTAGAATTAGTCAGAGCCAAATACGTTTAGTTTAAAATCATTCTCCAGAATAAAGTGGTACTAAACCTTTGAACCTCGATTCACCCTTTCAAAAACATGGGCCTAGATCTACAATCCTGTGCTTCTCTAGTCCGATCCTCGATCCTCACAGCTCACTGCTTTGATGCAATGGCAATGATATCATTCTACCTGATGTCTTGCCTCTTTACATTAAAATGTTTTGAAGTCAAGCCAAGAAAACTGAACAAACAACCCAGTAGAATATCTTCTTTTGGAAGATTCATGTTTAATTTCTATTTCAAATTGAAAATCAAGAATTGCTGACCTGTAAATTCAACCAATCCAGTCCAATCCAAATGATGTCTTTATAGAATGGTTCATAAATGGCAAACATCAACATGATACCTGTCAGAGCTAGAGCGATACATCGACTGAGCCAATATATCAGCTGATATTTGCTTATTGCACATATATCGATATTGGCGTACATGCTGAAGATGTGTTTGAAGTAATTAAGGAAACAGTGATTCCCTTATATTGAAGTCAACACTTATTTTTCAGTATATATTGTCACAATTCTAAAAAAACAACACACATTTCTGGGATACTGATTAAACAGTTTTTATTTTATTTTAGTTCAACCAACAAAAATGGAAAAATAGGTCACGTCAATTTGATCAGGACAGCTTTTCTAAATAGCTGCAAGTGAACTATTGGGATTGTATGGGATTTGGCTCCAGTGCAAAAAACAGAAAATTAACTTTTTGTTTTTAGAAAAACTCCTGCAACTTGCATCCTTGTTCTAAGAGTTGTAATCACTTTGCTTTCACTAGAATGAAGTTACTGTCAAATTTGTAAAAAAAAGTGCAACACTCTTTACTTTTTATATATATAGTCTATGTTTTTGTGTAAGGAAATATAAACGATAATGCAGGTGCAGCACATTTTTGCGGAAACAGCATCTTGGTGTCAATCCTCTGGGTGGGTTTTTCCCATGGCAGCAGCTGACTAACACCTGAGGGGCAGTGCTGCTAAGAAACGCAGCATGATCGGAACATGTCACAGCCTTATATCCGCTCAACGTTGCGTTCATCCAACTACAAAGGCGGGGGTCCAGCTAGTGTTAGCTGTGTCTCTTTCATGGTTCCAGTTGTGGTGATAGCAAATGACTAGTTTGTCAAAACTCACAGGAATGAGTAGTCCTGTAGCCTCAGCACTCACGACACCCACTCATTTGAATCATGATACAGAATAACGGAGTGTGCTAGCCAAAGATGGGACTCAGCAATGGCTAATGATGTTGGCCCTCCACAGCTGGTTAACCGCCTATATGACCACTGGGATTGAAGAGATAAACAGTTGACTTCTAGTGCCCACCCACACAGATCAAATTACAGTACCCACAAGAATAAATAACACCTCTGATCAAATAGGTACACAAGTTAAAACAGAATACAGAAGAGATCCAGTATATACTGGTTTCTTAGCAGCAATACATTTTAAGTCACATGTCACTTAATTGTTTAAATGTTCAATTTGTTTTATTTACTTATTTATCTTTTAGGTCAGTTAAAAGGAACTTAAGGAACATTTTGGACATCCTTAGTGTATATTAGTACAAAGACTTTTTAGCTGTCATGGTGGTCAGTGTTTGAGGTTAGATTACTAAAGTCAAAGCTGCAAGCGAGGTCATGCTAATTAGCGGTGGTGGTACTAAGCTGCTTACTCAAGACCCAGGTGGAGCATCCAGTGTTTCCTTACGCTTTCAGTTAAAGTGCATTAATAACCTGTGGCATGTTCCAAAGTGTTTAACACCCAGCAAGCTGACTGGCTTGCTGGGTGTTAAACACACACTCTTGACTGGCCATAGGCACAGGAAGGTGTGTGCACCATGGTCTTTTGGAAGCATGCATGACCCCCGATTAACCCTCCTGGATTAATCCCCAGTTCTCCAAACTGCTTCTTCTCTTGTCTCATCTCCTTACTCCCACAGAGTATATGAAGCAGAGCCCAGTCCCCTGATGTTTGTCCATGCTCACTGCAACACAATGCTTCTTCTGGTTGACTTTCTCTGCGTTTGTTCACTTTGCAGCTGGGGCCTGAAGCTGACGTCCTGTGGACTGCTTCATAGAGAGGGAAACCTTTGTGAAAAGCAAGAGAAAGACCTGTGCACCCGGCGTCTTCATCCTGGAAGCTGCAGGATAATTACAAAATGGCTAGAAGATCCCCCATTCCCTTGTTACTTCTAGCAATATGCTGCCTAGCATCTGCAGGTAAGTTACTCTCACTGCTTTGCCTCACGTGAAAGACCCATATAACAATTAAAATGTTATTGGTAGGAGCCAAAGTCAAACCCATGCATACTCTGGTATTAGGAATAAATGATATTGACTATTGACACCAAGCCTTGCCTGTGTGCTGTGTTGTTAAACAATCACAACTTTGCCCATACGCTGGGATTTTCCACCGTCCCTCCCAGCATGCCGTTCTAGACAGTGCTTGTCAGATTCGTGAGTAAGGGGGATTTACATTTAAGAAAGTGCTGACAAGTTCACTCTCAGAACACAAACACTGAGCAGGTCGACATTCATCAGTCAGATAGATTGGAATGAGACTCAGATACTGCCAAATACTGAGTAATTTACAGTCGTGAAACTGGCAAACCAAACACAGAGGGAGATTAAGTGTGTTATCAGTCAAATATATTAATGTAAGGCTCTGCATGATGTCACTTACTACCACATCCTACACCTTATGAACCTTTTAGTACAAGCTGTACCTCTCTCACTTTGAGGAATGTGCATGTTACTTTGACCTTTTATTCTCCCAATAAGGTCTTGTGAATATGAGCAACAGTTTTGTAGTGCTGGGACTTCTACCTGTGACACCCTACTTCTGACTTTCTTTGTCACAGTCACCTCTATCTTTGAGATTGCTCTACTTATTTCTGTAAATTTACTGAGATTGTTTCTGACGGCAGGAGGCAATGACCAAATGCTTACTCACTCTGCTAAGTCATAGGAAAATGATTCATGACATGGAATAACCTCATCAAATAACAATCCACATAAAAATGTATGTCAAATGTATTACTCCTTTGTTCCATTAAATAGTTATTCAACTCACTTTGCATCCAACACCTGGTATAGGACCGTTAGACCCCTGGAGACATCCTCTGCCACAGGGAGTCAACGGCGTAGCCTTCGCATAGCCCCATACCCTGTGCAGTAGCCTTCGCTGTAGCCTGACGTGCACCTCCTCAAAATTGTAAGTACACGTCGGGGCGACGCGGACCGTAAGAACTGTGATTGGTCAGCTGGGCAGGCCCGCAATGCCTCCGAGCCGACAGGAAGTGCGCCGTCCTTTGAAGTAAATTTTAAGCCAATCTAGTGGCTGTAACACGGTAGATCAATATATTTGAGCGTCACAACCCAAGAGAAATTACTCGTTTTTCTATCAGAATGTGATCCATTCGTTCAATAACAGCTGCACGTATATAATTTTAACCCCATTCAAGTTAGTGGAGAGCTAAAGCGGAAGTTAGCCTGCTTGGCCGGCAAAAGTCAACACAGTGGACGCTGAAGTAACGTTGGCGGTGTAATTGCAGAATGACGCACAAGTATATAATGTGTTTACCCTGTTCACTACCTTAGTTTAGCATGTTTGACAAACATTTGCTAATTAGCAGCACACACATCAGCTGTGTCCCAATTCTATATAGTACTTCATACTGAGTCTGAACAGGTTTTGAGTATGTAGTATATTCACTTTAAAAAGGGGGCTAAGTATACTATAAAATGTTTGATTTTTGAGTGTGCTGTAGATAAACATTGTTTTTCAACTAGGAAAACTGAGGTATTTCACTCATAGCTGCAATACAAAAGAAATGAATTGTTTATAGTGGTGATACAGCTCCAGGAAAACATCAAACACTATTTTTAGAGATTAATATATAGCATATACTGTATACATTTAGTATGGATTTGGGAAACAGCAAAAGGACATCTAAAGCTGAAGCCTAAACCAAAGTATTAGTCAAATTGAAATTTTGAGCTGATGATAACTAGATGAACAGTCAGAGGATCACCAGGTCATACTTTGGGGCACCTGAAAGTAGCAAATCTTATGGCTATGTAAAAGTTGTGGATACATTCCACTCTGAACCAAAAATGTTTGTAGCCCTAGATGATATATCAGTAATTTCATGTATGATATGGCAATGAAAATGCAAGATTTCAGGCAAATTCAAAGAGCGTGGTACAAACATTGGCCAGTCAGATCCAACGGCAGCTGCTTTGGCTCTGCTCTAATAAAATAGTATAATAGATTTTTTTCCCCAACAGGAATGACACAGTTATTAAAAAATTAGTGTTTATTACATGGTTGATTTAATTTCTTATTTGTCACTGCAGAAATAAATGTCGATGTTCTGTTTCTAGTGAAAAGGTGGGTTGTGGTCTTATCTGTACTGGCCAGAAGTGGGTTAAGTTCCAAGTTGTTGCGGAGTTGGCCACTAGATGTAATTAGAGGAGCTGCCACTACAGTAATGTCCACGTTGGCTTAAAAATTCAGTGGCGGTTTTCATTGCTCGGTAACTTGACCAAAATATTCAATTTACTGACCTAAGTCTGACACTTAGCTACAAATTTTAAAGAAAAATATGTAAAGCTGGCAACAATCTGTCATGAACCACACTGAGAATTTAGTTTACATTCCACTTTTCTTTTTTTCAGATTGTGAGATGTCCTGTTTATAGAGACAGGTTTCGCAATGTACGTCTTTGGACCTGAACTCACTGCTTTAATCTGCAGCATCCCATGTTGTTTTTCTGTGGTAGCACAGGAATAATTACCCAGTAGGAGGCACGCTATATAGCTAGCGCTCCAAAGTGTGGTTCACATTTTTCAGTGTAATTGCCATCATAGGTTATTATTTCAAAAGATCTCTGGGGGTTTGAACCGCACTCCAGAGAGCTGACTTTTGCTCAAACAATAGCAGTGTAGTCAGTATGTGCTGTGGGCAGAGCTAACTTAATTTCTCCCACAATGCCAGGATCTCTAACACAATGAAGTCACGTATGAAGTTTTCCTAAATTCTTCCTCAGACGGCACGGCACATTGTTGTACTGTGTCACAAGGGACAGATATTTACAGTTCACAGACAACCAAATGCCCTTTCCTCTAAAGTCAACTGGCAGTGAGTGCTGATTTATGGACAAACCTTCAGAAGCTCTTGAGTTATCCAAACAGTGGATTTTTTACAGGTAAAAGACAGACCAATAAACAAATTTTTTAGATTAAAGGAAATTCTTTCGCCTACATTAGGCCAAATTAACTTATGATAAAAAATAATTTTAGTCCATCACTCACCACTTCAGCTTATCTTTCACCTCACTCTCTCTTTGTCTGTCCATTTCTATCATCTCGCAGCATCTGTGTAAACAGTCACATCTTCCCTCTAAACTTGTCAGTAGAGCTCTTACATAATGTTTAGATTAGTCTGCAATGAGTATTCTCTCAGCGTAATGCAAGCCAGGACGTGGGCCTCCCATAACTCTTAAAAGTCAGACTGAGATCACCTTGACGTCCATATTTTAAGTCTCTGCTCTGCTGCTTCACTCTGGTTTTAGCTGTTTATAAACCCCCCACCCCTTGATTTGAGGCACTTGCCAGAACGAGCTCCGATGCTGGTTGCTGGAGGCACGATGCCCGGCTGGTGGCTCACTGAAAAACACACCAGCATCATTGATTGCAGAAGTACTTTCTCCTCTTATAGCCTGATTTTACACATGGGATGGCTTGATGAATGAGGGAGCTCTTAGTACAAGTCTGTCTTCAGCTATTCATTGTGGAACCACATAGTCTTACAACGGGGTTGATAAGATTAAGTGGAAAAAAGGAATTAAATTGTGCTCATATTGATAGTCCATACGTACAGTAAAGTAAACAACTTTCTCTCTGTCTGCATTTTTTGTAAACTCTTGGCTGACAAGAGTCACTGTGATGCCAAAAGTGGTTGTAATGTGTTTTTTTCACCCCCCGAAGTTGAGCAAAAAAGTTTGTCTTTATATCCACAATGCTTTCTTAGGGCCAGCAAGAGGGGGCCTGCCAAAATGCATTGTGCAACCACTGTAATCTGAGAGGTGGGGTAGCCAGGGGGAGGAGAGATTCAGGCGCAGGCGTGGGTCGTCTGGTCCAAATTGACACACTCCACACGCGCACAGTGTGCCAAACCGACAAAGTCCCTTCCAGCGTGCTAAACCAGATGTTGCCCTGTGATTCATTCGAGGAGCCGGAGGAGCGCAGGACAGAGGCAGTGTGCTGCTAGGCAGAGTGGTTGGGATGTTTACATAGCAACTGGAGTCCCGTGTGTGTCTAATTACAGGTCTGCTGTCCCCCATGGTGAGGCCTTTATCTTAACAACGCTGTCAAGGAGGAGGCAGCCATTCTGGCCCTGTCTGTTTATATCTACTGCTTATTGAATAAGGTCACCCTAGTATTACCCAGTTTAATTAACAGCAGCGTATAAGTTAGATTGTGGGATATTTGCTTTGATTTGTTTGCTCTTAATCTCAAACTCTGTCTGTCGCTCTCTCTCACTTACACAAACTCACACAAGAAGGAGCTCCTAAATGGACTTTAGCAGACATGTCTTCACAGATAGACTCATATTTTCGTCCTGGTCCGTCATATCTTGGCAGCCTCTTGTTAAGAAGACGCTTACGCAAATCTGCAAGAGTAAACCGAATCCCGCCCCCTACCCTCTCTCTCTCCATAGTTCCAGTAAGCAGGCGTGTAAATAATTTCGGTCAAAGCCAGTAATGGGAGACAGCTGGGGTGATCGTGCGTTTTCCATTGTGTTTCACAGCCCTATGAAAAAAAAGCCACAGGAGCTGGGGAGAGTAAGAGTAACTGTGTAAGAGTGTGACTTCATTGAAGAAAGAGAGAGTAATTGTAAGAAAGTGGACTCCCTCTATTTGAATTACCTTCAGAAGCAGCAAGAAAAAATATGTCTTGCTAATAATAATAATAATAATAATAATAATGGTTGCGGTGTATTTTTTATTTTTCAGCTATAACAGCGTAAATTTATTACAGCTTTAGTTGCCTAATCATTTGCAAAGGTGCCAACTTCAGAGTGCATGACTTTTTATCTGCAAAAAACATCCAAATATGGGATTCTTGCTGAAGGCTTCCAGGTGGTTTCTTTCATCAGACGTGCCCCTCCTGGGGCCTCACCTTCCCCCACTCCATTTCTACCAGATGAGTCCTTCTGAAAGACCATGTCCCAATTTTGGAATGGACCTTTGGAAAATTGGACTGTCTGTCCAAAAAATGACAGAAGCCCTTTACTTTGCCCTAAATAACAGATATTTGGGTTAGCTCACAAACACACATTTGGAAATGCTCTCCTTTTCCACTTGTTTTTCAAAGTGTAATTTCAGATATCTAATAGAAATAGTAGCTGTGGAGTAAACTAATTACCATTAGCTGCAGTTGTATACCCTTTAAATGTTCTTTAGCTGGAATATAATCCTATTGTCATTTTTTAAACAGCCGTATAGGTTGATTATTATAACCAATATTTATGTTTTTTCATTAGGCCACAACCTCTAGTGGCAGAAGAAGTCAGGTCACATAGAATAAAAAGCGACAAAGTGAGTGTAAGAAGTGTGGTGGGCTGGATGATTTTTCAAGTAAACTAACAACTTTCACTCAGGAGACAGAGGGTTGAGTACTGTATGAAACAAAGTCAAAATTGACATGTTTGAAGTTAAGTAATGTTACTTAGATTACTTACGACACGTGACTTAGATTACTTATGACACGTGACTTAGATTACTTACGTCACGTAACTTAGATTACTTACGTCACGTGACTTAGATTACTTACGACACGTAACTTAGATTACTTACGTCACGTGACTTAGATTACTTACGTCACGTAACTTAGATTACTTACGACACGTGATTTAGATTACTTACGTCACGTCACTTAGATTACTTACGACACGTAACTTAGATTACTTACGACACGTGACTTAGATTACTTACGACACGTGACTTAGATTACTTACGACACGTGACTTAGATTACTTACGTCACGTAACTTAGATTACTTACGACACGTGATTTAGATTACTTACGTCACGTCACTTAGATTACTTACGACACGTAACTTAGATTACTTACGACACGTGACTTAGATTACTTACGACACGTGACTTAGATTACTTACGACACGTGACTTAGATTACTTACGTCACGTGAC